GACCGGAACTCGGTTCCAGTAGGGAACTCCCAGTTACCACCAACTTGCAGAAAATTATCATTATGCTTGTCTGAGTCAGGCAAGCCAGTCACCAGATGACAATCGATTGAACGAACACGCAGGTAGTACGTGCTATGATCCTTGTTGTGTGAAAGAGTAGTAGCCTAAGATGTCCCAGATATCAAGATTCAAGCCCAACCACTTGTTGAGAGCGGACACGCCACATACGACATGGAACAGGTTCACGGACACTTGTATTGGAGTTAATTGAACTTGGTGCAGAAATCGGCGCACCAAAGGTCGAGGGGAAACCGAACCCCTCCCTCGACGATGGCCGCAATCGGAAAGGCAACGGTACTCCTAGTGCCCATACGCTTCGCATCAACCTTTGCCAACGTAAGGGTTACATTATCGGGGATATTATAGTTAGGGCGAAACATGGCCATGGCCTCGGGAGTATCAACTAATGAGCGGAACTTCCTCATTAAACAAACCTAATGGGACAGGGGTAGAACTCAGATAATAAGATGCTGAAGATAGTGGTGCAAGGGCCAAACGAGACGATTAAAACGGAAAAAGATAAGGGAAGAAGAATCACAGAAGAACTTATAGAGATCAGAGCAGCGGTGGCGTACAGGCAGCGCTGAAGCAAGAACGGCAGCGGAACGTCTAAATAGAGCACCAACGAGACTGGCTCAGAGGAACGGAAAGGATTTTTTGAAACTCTCTAGAAGAATGAAAAGCAGGTAAAGGGATTTGGATTGACAGCCCAAAGCATTTATTGCACCAGCAAAGGTACACGAACCATGACCAATAGCATAGAATCGGCGCACTATATCTGTGCATTTATCCCACGTCGCCACGTGTCACCACGAAAGGACGCATGCAGGGTTTATGTGTCAGGATTGAACCGTCACCAAGGTCGAACTGGGGTAGAACCGAAGCGACACAATGCTTGGGATTCAGAACAATAGCTCCCCCTAAGGGGAACCTTAGCGCAAGCTAGGGGGCAAATGAAGGGGCTGAATGTGAAACGGGTTAGATCCAAGCCTTGGGCCGACCCAATCCACTAAAGCCCAAATCCAAGTAGATTAGATGAACATATGGGCAATCCAATTAAACCAAACTCCATTACTAACAGTCCACCCAAGTCCTCAAGCACTTGGGCCCAACTCGTAGTGGAAAGGCCAGTTCAATTGCGATACTGGGCTAGGGCCGAGCTGCAAGATCCATTTTATGGGCCAAACTGATGGGTTGAACCCATCATCAAAACCAAAGTGGGCCGAATGCGTACACAAATATTTGAATGGGCAAGCCCATCCCAATAGAAGCCTCGCAAAAGGCCAAGCTGAGGCACAACGGTGTCGAGCTGAGGGAGCCTATTAGAGAAACGTGGAAATTATGAGCATATGCATGTGCAAGTTGCCACCTCAGCTGGTCCCCAACACCTAGAATCACGAAAGCAGTTAAACCAGAGGAATGTGATTTGTTATCAGCACGACTACAATGAGTATAAGCACCTCTAGACAACTACCAGATGGTCCCCCACCTGGGGCCATGCTAAAAGGAAACTTGGCAACACCAGAGCTCCATGAAACCATCTTGGGAAACAAGCAAAGAACTCTATATAAACTACATCAACTTCATATTGAAGGTAACTAATCCAAGCTGAACCCCACTTACTTACAAACTCAACTCTCTACACTTCTTCTCCGATCACTGATTCCCACACCGGAGGGGTTATCTGGCCAACCCCGATCGGGCAGCTCTTACGGTGCTTCTTGCTGCAGGGACCTCATTCCATGGATAGTCTAACCGAGTGCAGAGCCCCGATCCACTTTCATCTAGTGCGGTATCCGGTACGCACACCCAGTTTGTACAAATTTAAGAAAGAAGATACGTACCAATATAAATAAAAACTACTTGAGAAAGAAAAGATGTATACTTAAACCCGATATACACACACACCTAGACTTATTTCTCATTAAAACACCATCTAACTTAATTATTGACGTGTCTTCCAACTGATAATTGCCAATCAAATGGCACTAACAGTTTGTTTTTTTTGCATATCCAAAATCGTGTAGCTCGTTCATCTCTCTAAAAATCTCTCCATCTATCTATGTGGGTGTTTGGGAAGTGAGTTTTTTTAAGTTTTTTTAATTGTAGGATATTATTGGAGAATTTTTTTTTTTGTGTTTGGGAAGATAGTTGAGTTTTTTTGTGGTTGGATGTGATGTTTGTGAGGAAAAAAGTGAAATGATTATGGATTTGATGTGATATTTTATTTGGATTTTTTTTTTTAATTTTGTAACCAATTTGTCTTTTAGTGAAAAAAAACAAAAAAAAAAACCCAAAAAATTTGTTCCCAAACAACGCCGTATAATTTTTTTTCCAACCAACACATACTCTTATAAATAATATATAATCATTTTAAATTTATTAACAAATACCCTTAATACACTTATCAATAAAATCTTATATATATAATAATAATAATAAATAAGAGGGAAAAAAACATATCAAGGAGCTGCTCATACACCCACTTTTGGGAAATTTTATTTCCACGCACTTAATTATTTCAGTATACATCTTCTCTCAGTATATACACTTATTAATTTGATTATTAATTAATTTTTTTAATTCACACATTAAAAGTTATAATTATATATTTCACTCATAATCATTGTACACACACCATTCAATTCTCTTTTCCACATACTTGTTGAGTGACCCTGCTTCCAAATTTATAGATCCATGTGAAGACCATTCAAGACCACAGTGTAAAGTGAAGACAAAGTCCTCAATTGAAGACCTTATTGAACCTCTGTTAAAAACACCATTGAAAATCTTCCAAAATATTATTGAAGATGAGACATCTTCCTATTTTGTTATTACATGTACCATTTCCAGATCTATGTGCACTCTATTATCATAAAACCCTTGTTTTTTTGTTTTGTTATTTTTTATTTTATGTTTTTTGCTTTGGGGATTTTGGCACTGGTTTTTCGAAATTATACATTTAATTCAAAATTTAACTTCTGAATAAAAGTGATTAGTTCGACAAATTTGTTCTTAAAAAAAAAATTTAAAAAAAAAACTTTTGGCAGTTGATGTCCGAATATAATGAAATAATTCTGCACTGGTTGTCCGACTAAAAACTACGAAAGGTATAAAATAAAATAAAAAATTCTGCACGAAAAAACTAACATTTTCATCACTAATATAGTATAAATCTAGAGATTAAAACAATATGAGAGTTGTTATGAGAATATTACTTTGAAAACAATAAAGGAGTATAGAGTGTGTAACAAGTAAATTGACAACAATGGAAAAACTAGGGTTTTTTTTTTTTTTTTACTCAAAAGGTGTACATTAAGATTTTTTTGTTTTTAAAAGATGTGTACACAGAATATTTTCATATAATATTATGGGTGCTAGTGGATATCCATTATAATCATTTTATTTAGGGTATAATTGCCATTTAAATAATATTTCATTAAATGTGTACACTGAGATAATTAAATGTGTAGAAATAAAATTTCTCCCCACCTTTTATCTTACAACCTCCACATATTCTATTTATTTTTTATTACAAATTTACCCTAACATGAACTACCAATTTTATCGCCGTCCATAACTCTCCAAACCCTAATCGTACCCCACTCACCACCACCACCACTAGCATCATCACTACCACTTGTGCCCACCTCTGCTCCACCAACCGTTGGCAACCCCAACCCCCTCTTTCGATGCCCCCTCACTACAGGAAAATATACCTTCGACTACTAAAAAATTAATCGCCAAAGCCTCATTTTTAGTTGTCAAAAGTCAATGGTAACTAAAAATTTTAGTCGGCCTGTTAGTCGCAGATCAATTGTCTACCAAAGTATTTGGCCTCTCAACCAATGGTGATGAGTTTATATTTTGCTTATAGTTTTCTTCTTGTTCTTCATTTATTTATTTATTTATTTATTTTTTAAAGTTTGAGTTTAAGCTTGAGCTCAGCTCGTTTATGTAATCGAGTTGACTTGAGCTAAGCTCAAGCTACTCAAATACTTGACGAGTCAGGCTCAAATTTAATTTTTATGTTCAACTTGAGCATGGTTCAAGTTCGAATAATTTTGAGGGGGATTTACGTATAAGTTCTAATAGGTGAACTTATTGACTAATAGGTCATATGATAATTAATGATGTTTTTCATCAAACACTATTAAAAAACGTTACAAATTATTAATTTTCAGCGACAGTTTAAAATTTTCGTCACAAAAATGTCACTAATTATAAGTTTTGGTAACAGTTTAAAAAAATTATTATAAAAGACACTAATTTTTAACTTTTAGCGACAATTTGAAAACTTCGTTACAGAAAAACATTACTAATTGTAAGTTTTAGCGACAATTTATAAAAATCGTGACAAAAAAAAGTCACTAATTGTTAATTTTTAGTTACAGGCAAAAAATCATCACAAAAAATTATTTTTAACGACGATTTTACTAAGACTTATTTTCAATAAGACTAATAGAAATTAAATCCAACTATTATGACATTGATAGTTTATCCTAATTTTTGAGCCAACCAAACGCAAACACTCAAAATTCGGCTCGATTTGTCTACAGCTCCTACCACATGATTCTAGTAGGAAATTTTGTATAAAAATTCTACACAAATAGAATTATCAAAAGGGGAAATATTTTTTATTAGATTGTGAAAATAAATGGGGAATAAACGACAATGAAAGTTATTTATTTATTTATTTTTGAAATAATGGAGAATTGGGAAGAGTATCAATTCCACTAGTGGAAACAAATGAAATAAACATCAACTGTCTAAAAGGCTCTACAAGAAGCTAACAGCATTATAAGTTGCTTCAATGCAAAATAACCTACTTTATTGTCAAATACAAATTGCTGGACAACCCCCCCCCCCATTTATGCTTTGATTGCTTCAATGCAAAATAACCTACTTTATTGTCAAATACAAATTGCCCCCCCCCCCCCCCCCCCATTTATGCTTTGAGTGATTATTTTCCCTCTCTTCTGCTGGCCCATCTTTATGTTTGTTACAGAGTGTATTGCCAGCACAATCGTGCTTAAAACGGGGAAATTAGAAAATTATCTTATAATCACTTGATCTTGAAAACTAGTTTCCCTAATTTTATTTTATTTTATTATAATTTTTTTATCTGACAGCATGCCGCATACCTCTTTTTGTCTTTTTCCATGCGCCGAATGAAGCAGCAGGAGCCGGTTCATTTTCTGCTCCACTCTTCTTGCTTGTATGTAAGCTTTTTAAGGTTTTGGGGGCATGCCATCTAATTCAAAATTGGGTATGCTAGTTGATCTAGATGAGTACTCTGACACCAACTTAAGAAACATGGAAGACTTGTCATCTAATAACCGTGCTGGACTATCAAACTCTGTCACTCGACCTGCAAAACCAAGTTTCATGAGCTTTCTGTTGGTGTGTGCAGCAGAAACACAACATAGACTAAAATGTCACTGGGAATTAAATGATAAAAAACTGAGAAATTGTTCTAAAACAAATTCCAAAATATGAGACTCAAGTTTTGATGTTCTATAAGAAAGATTACCAGTTAAAACTTGGTATCAATGGATTCCAAATCTAATAAATTCTGGATATTTCAAATGGATAAATTCCTAGAAGGGAAAAGCGAAAAGAAAAATGAAAACAGAACTGTAATGGAATATGACCAATAAGTGACTTTGATACTCAGACACGTCAAAGAGAGATGAACATAAAGATAAAGATCGACTGTACAAGCAACCTTGGAGTTGTAGAAACATTATGTTAATAAATTTCATGGGACAAGTCACAAGAGGATCAAGAAGCAACAGCCTTCATTCAGCTTCCAGCAATTACCGTGAGCCAAAGAGAGAGAATCATTTTTAGATAATACTTGCCGTACCATCATACTCAAATTGAGAAATGAGAAGCAAAACTCTCTAATATTTTTACAGTGTAAAATATCAAACCTAAGACTTTGACTTCGAAGACCAACAACTCTCTCAAACCCTTATTTACATTCTAAAGGTTAACTATTAATCAACATACATATTCACCTGCATATCATGAGGATCAAGATTAGATATATATTCTCTAGTATACCATAATCTCCTTGAGTTTCCATCATTTCAAGAACATCAAAAATTTTTGATGAATCTTGGAAAATTTGATTCGATGCAAACACATTGTGCTTAGTTGGTGTTACTAATGAAAAAGAAGATGCAGAGTCAGGGAATTACTTATTCATCGTAAGATATCTAAAGAGTTGTGGGTGCTGATATTGTTCCTACAGATCTACATGGGCGGCTTTCTCTTATAGAGCCTTTTACTAATTTAATTTATCTTGTCAAAAGTTCAAAAGAAAAGAAATGACAAATTTTTGGATTCTCCTGAAAATTAATAACATTACCAAATGCATATTATACTAAAATTCTTAGGAAAAAGTTCTATAGATTGCAGCAACACTTATGTCCACTAAATGGAAGAAGAAATGGGAAGTATTAGTGTACGCACCATCACTGAGGACCAGAACCAGATCGCTGTCAATAACAGTTGGGATACGATGAGCAATAGTGCACACAGTGCAGTCCCTAAACTCTGTTCGGATGATCTTCTGGATAAGATTATCTGTAGCTGAATCAACTGAAGCAGTGGCTTCATCAAGAACCAAAATTCTTGTCTGTTTTAGTAAAGCCCGGCCAAGGGAAACAAGTTGCCGCTGCCCAACACTCCAATTATCTCCATTCTCTAGAACTATGAATTTCAGACAAATACAATTTATCGACTAGTCTTAGACAAATGCCAAAAGGAAAGCTTCCAGATGTAATATTAATAATAGAGCTTAAATTTAATGCTCAAATATTTAGTGCAAATACCTGGTGTATCTAGCTTTTTCTCTTTCTGGCGAACAATATCCCCTAGCTGAGACTTCTCAAGTGCCTGTTGCAAATCAAAATACAATCATTAAGAAGGTAAGTCTTTCTGGTAATCATAGCACGCCCATACATTAAACTGGGAAAAAAGTTTGGGAATTAACACTGGAAAGCAAAACTTTAACAACAAATTTTTGGCAAGAATTTATAGAAGGAACTAAGGAATTCTTATTACAAAAAATGGAATTACTTGTGATTTCAGAACAATTTAAAATAGCTGTGGCTATCCACAATATCTGGGATATTTCTACTAACAGTCTATTTTAGGGACTTCACTTGGTCGAACTGTTATAGTTTAAGATTTTCTTTTTCAAAACTGAGAAAAATGAAGACAAAAAACGTAAGCCAGTTGAGTTTGACCTGCCAAATTTCTTGATCTGAGTGCTCATGGAGGGGATCAAGGTTGCCCCTAATGGTCCCTTCAAATAAGTTTGGATCTTGGGGTATAATACTTAGACGGCTACGGAGGTCATGAAGACCAATTGTTGAAATATCAATATTATCTATAATAATTCTGCCGTCTACGGGCTCAATCAATCTGAACAATGCCTGGATCAATGTAGATTTACCACTTCCAGTACGCCCAACAATTCCAATCTTCTTCCCACCAGGAAATGTGCAGGTTATGCCATGAAGCACCATAGGAAGATTCTCATTGTAACGAACCTTTAAAAAACAAGATATTCACCAGATTAGTTTTTTTCTTTACAGTAGATAGTCATCATAATAATTTGTTTAAAAAAGAAAAAAAAAAAGGGTAAATTATTTGAGAGCTGGATGTTATTTATTTTCTTATATTTGTTACTGAAGAAATAAATCTAGTAACCAGAATCCAAACTATTTTTCTAGGAAAGGTGAGCTTCTAGGGAGAGAACTCAAGAGAGACTTTTTAAACTGTAGACACAAGAATGTTGAGATGAAGCCATGCACCAAAAAACCCTACCATGGCAACCTTAAAAAGAAAAACTTGCACACACTTTATTGTAGAAAGTTTGTTGATAATGTCTTTATCTATCTAATAACAAAAAATGTTAAAATTAGAAGTCATATCAGGCTTTGTCTCAATTGTAATTCTTTTAAAATTTAAAAAATAATTACTTAATTCTTTTAAAATTTTAAAAAATAATTACTTTAAAATTTAGATGAGTGTATATATAACAGCAAACATAATTTTCTCGGTGTGATACGTATCGGAATTGCCAAATTACTGTATTTATCCATGTTTGTTGTGTAAGCTATAGACGACTTCTAGCAGATCCCTGAATTTTTTTGCCAGTTTTGAGACTAAGACCAGAGAAGGTGCAAGAACTACAAAACACAAATATAGCACCCACCCAAAGTAAAAGATTCCCATGACCCTATACCAACAATGTGGCCCAAGAGTTTTACCAGCAGCTGTCTGCATATATTAAAAATATGCAACTATTGCTCAAGCCCAAGTCTGTCTGGTTTAGCTTTTGAAAACTGTTCTTGAGTTTTTTGTGTTTTGTGTTGTGTTTTTTTTTTTTTCGGTCTCTTGCGTACTATCCAGTCTTTCCCCATTCTTTGAACACTTCCATTAGTTAACGTCAATCCACTAAATCAAATGACTGCATGTTTCTTCATTTTAAACAGGGAACTTTCAAGCACTTTACTCAAGTAATTCAAGCCCATTCATTTTATAACCATAACTTGCTGAATCTTCATTGAATTATTCTTGTATTAGGTCCACATCCTATATCCTACAGCCCTTTCAGCTTCAACATCCTTCATAATTTTATTTATTTATAAGTTTAAATTAAATTAGAGTTTTACTAGAGCAGTATCCTAGTTTTGGTAACTTAATTAGGGTTTCCTATGTTGGCTATTTATATGGCTTTATGTAATAGTTTTACGTTAGCTTTGATATAATAAATATTGAGTTAAAGCTGTGGCTGTTTTTGTGTCAGGGTTGTGATACTTATTCTTTCTCTATTCTTATTCTTCTTGATGTTTTTTTCTTCTCTTTTGGATGAATTCTCCATATAGTCTGGTTTTGAGATCAATCGAATAGTTGAACGGATTTCCTAATAGCCGTTCGGCATCAATCGGTGGTAAAAATTTAATGTGGTCACAGAATGATAGAAGCCTTATGCATAGGAAGCCATCAAAGCAGGGGAGCACACAGCTGACATGGCATGATCCTCTAGTAGAAGAAAGGATATCCCTTTCCAATAAGAACCAACAAACCAAGCTCTTAAAAAGCGGCTGCAACCGTTACGTAACGGTTGTGGTGGTTACCACCACCCGTTACGGCCATTACAGCGGTGTGACGGAAATTCACATATGTAACGGCTGTTTCGGTGTTACATAACGGCCGTAGCGGTACCGTAATAGCCGTAACAGTCCGTTAGATACTGTTATACCCTTTTATAATATTTTGACTTCTTTACCCCCCAAAAAAATAAAAAATTACAAAAAAGAACAAATACTCAAGTGATTCAAGCCCAACGAAAATCTTATATGAATTTTTTTTCTTTATAATTTTTTTTTTAATTTATGGCACAATTTTTATTTTATAATCCTTTTATTTAATAATTGTGAATATTTTTTATTCAGTTAGCTCAGGTATTGGTAAAAAATAATTTGTAGACATTTAAGATCAATTATTCTTAAAATCATGAACTATTGAAATAAAATGTAAAAAGCTCCTTTTATAGTGATTTGAAAATATAAAATATATTGGATCATACTTAAAAATTGATCAAAATTTATTTTAAATCCCAATAAATGTGATTCTGAAGAAAAAAAAATATGCGTATCGGCAAGTTTTCTTCAAATGCGAAAAAATAAAATAAAAAAAATCACGGTTCCGGTTAATGCAACTGTTACGCTACGGCCTTTACACTCCGCAACCGCTACTGCGTCACCGCAACCCTTACAGAGACCGCAACCGCTTTTCAAAACCTTGCAACAGACCGTTCCAATTAATGCACAGCTCATTCATGAAAATTCTACACGGATTTCAAGATGCAGGTGGTCAATATTTCTATTACTTAAAATGAACTAATGATTTCAGGATTAGCATAGATGATAGTGTTATGCCTATGTACAGACCATTTCAATTAATGCAGACCATTCTTGGAATTTCTATACAGAGTTCAAGATGCAGTAAGTTAATAGTTATATTACTTGATATGAACTGATGGTTTCAGGATTAGAATAGATGATAATATCATACTTCACCTAGCAGTAAAGTGAACCTCGTTGCAGAATAAAAGTGTAATCCAACAAACAAATATAAACAATAAATAAATGAAAAATGTGTCAAGCAAGCATCCACCAAAAATTAACATCAGGTAAGTTCCTGTTCTAACACTTGACACCTTATTCTAGAAGCTGAACGAAGACAAAAGGAAAAGGTGGAAGTGAACTGCATACCTTTAAATCAATCAATTCAATCTTTCCATTCTCTGGCCACGACAATGGTGGACGAGAATCCTCAATAATTGATGGAGCTTCACTAGGGATTTTGCAGTACTGATGAATCCTTTCTATAGAAATAATTTTGTTTTCAAGCTTGCAAAAGCTAAGTATCCACCGTGATAGTCGTGCATTCAAGTTAAGTCCATATGTCACAGCCAGGCCTGCCATGCCTTTATAGCAGAAACACCTTTGATCAGAAACATCACAGAACTGAGATTTTGTAACAATTCAAAAGTCTTGGTTTTATATATATATATATATATTTTTTTTTTTTCTCTTTTTTTTCTTTTTAAGTACAGTTCAAACTTCATACACAACTAGATTTTCAATATCATTTAAGCCTGGTCCCAAAATGAGTTCTGGAGCTTATGTCTACAGTGGGTCCCAATCCAGCTGACTTAAGATTCTCAAACTCGTTGGAAAGAACAAGCTTGTGGTTTATTTGTGGGTCGCGTAAAGCCATCTCACAATCCACAGGGAAAAATAAACCATGTAAATCTTTTTTCTTCTTCTTCTTCTTTTAAGTATTATTTTGTTTCTAATGCCTAGAAGCAGGGTCAATTTAAATGGTGAGCACGCAATACCAATTTGCCTGACAATGACACAAGACATGCTTAATCTTGTAAACCACACAACACAAAGATCATGTGAAATTCCTTGTCAAAATAAGTAGCAATGTTCTGTAGTGGAATAATTTGTTTACTTACTTGGATCTATATGTCCCTGAGGGAAGCTGACAAGTAAAACCATGCAGAAAGCAAATACAAAGGTCGAGAGTAACTCCATGCGTAAGCATAGCCACTCAATGGCTGCAAGACTGTAGAAGAATGGGCGACCAAAACAATCAAGAAGATAGGTGTTCCTCTTCATGAACCGCTTTTCTTGCCCAAATCCTCTAATTGTGGTTGCTCCAGCAATCGACTCCCCAAAAAGATGGATGATTGGAGATTTCTGGATGCTAACAATGCGGACCAGTTCCCTTGATGAAGTCATGTAGTATTTCTGCAATCAGGTACTATAATTCAATAAGGTAAAATATTCACTGTACACCTCTTAGCAGTTAAATTTAAATTTCTGAACCCTCAAATTAGCATTTGAAGTCAAAGCGGTCAAGTAAAATAATTAGAACAAGTACAAGATCACACTTGCTCCTCCGTAACAATCAACTGAAATGAAACCTGCATACTATTAATGGTTCAAGACAGGTGGACATGAATAATGTGGGTTTTAGTGTTTTGCATGTTGTAACCTTCGCTCCAAAGTGGTTTTTAGAAGGGCAGGAACAGAGGACAATTGTCAATAAAATTTTAGTAGAATTAGCTCCGAAATTGAGAGAGGATCTCATGGTTTTGGAAAAACCTTCGTGACATATATACTAATTTATTAGGGTGAGGCAATAAAATATTGACAATGGAGGTGTTAAAATGAATTGTGGTCATTATTATGAAGAGTTCAAGCAGAAAAAGAGGTTAAATTAGGGTTGAGGTAACATGGTTTTGAAAACCAAGGCACTAACATCCATTATTTATGGTAAACATTTTGAAGATTTCAATTAGGAAATGCGGTTAAAACATGGTATGGTATTTATTATGAAGATTTCATAAAGATAATTCTTACAAAAAAATAGCCGGTATGTAGATAAATGAGGCATTTCTTGAAACAAATTGCTATGGTTTAACTTCTCAGATGACCATAAAGCAGCATCAAATGTAGCGGTCCTTTTTATCAATACATAAACTTCAGTTTATAGAAATCACGACATTTCAATCAATAGAACATACATTTTGGGCTGAAAGTTTCTTTAATACAATTTCAAGGCAAAAGATTATTAATCACCTGCATCCACAAGCAAGCAATGGCCATTGGGATAGCAAGGAGCAAGATTTGCCAGGTAACTTTTGTCATTACACCAACTATACCAAGCAGCTGGATTGTTGTTGCAGCAAACCCACCAAGTCTAAAAGCAATATCAAGATCGACAACACTTTGATCAATTGACACCTGGCAAGTTAAAAAAAAAACACAATTTATTACATTAAATTACATGAAAATAATGTAAAGGAGGTAAGAGAGAGAGAGAGAGAGAGAGAGAGAGAGAAAAGCACACAAATTTTTTTTTAAAAAAAAAATTTGTTGATATAAAGTGCCAGCAGTGGTTGAAGTAGATATATCTTTCAGCGAGAACATATAACTTACACGATTCAAGATCCTTCCAGCTAGAGTGGAGTCAAAGAAGGACATTGGTGCTCGAAACACACTTCCAAGCATTTTTAAAAACAATTTTTGTGCAGCTGCAAGACCAAATGTAGCTACAAGTAGAGCCCGCACAAATATAAACCATGAGCTCCCAAAAGCAAGGGCCATATAAACAACAAGAAGGACCATACTACTTGTTCTAGGTTGGTCCCCCTGTGTTTGTGGATTTGCCCAAGCCATCCACCAATTACTAGCTATTTGAAGCACCTGAAATAGTGTTTGTGCAAGAATGATGAGCGGGATCAATAAGCCTTTATATGCTGCGGTCATATATGATAAGTACACTTTCATGCTGACTTTTCCTCTCTCCCTCTCCTCCTCCTGAACAAGCTGCTTTTTCCTTGAATGTTTTGTATTCTTTTTCTCTTTAATTGCTTTCTGGTCTGGAATTGATACACCCTCTTGTACTTCCTTCGCCAAACTGTTAATACGATTTCCAATTGTAACACATTTTTTACTCAATAGAACAGACCCATCACAAGGATTGCTTTCAACTGAATCTTCAAGTGAGTGATTGGGAATATCCATAGAGTCAATTGCTTCATGGTGAGCTGACACCAAAGTTTCAAAATCAGTTCCTGCCTGTAAAAGTTCATCATATTTGCCAGCCTGAATAATGCAGCCGTCCTTAAGAACCTGCAAAATGGAAAAATGAATGTTGAGATGAGAGAGGAATCAATTTAAAACTACATCTCTAACACTCTTCAAGCTACAAAACCCAAAAATTGAGTGCTTTATGTTGAGTTCCATAAGTGGCTACATTGAGGTAAGAGTCTAGATTTGGAAGAAAATAAAATTGTTCAAATTATAGTAAAGTATACCACTAATTAAGCCAAGTTCAGAGGATTGCACATAAAGCTAAACAGGAAACCATGTCGACCATTCTTTGTATCGGGGCACTGTTAAAATTGATGTATTATTGATTGATGTATATTGTGGTGTGTTGAGCTCTCTCCTTTATAGAGGAGAGGGAGAACAATTACAAACCGAAAGTAGAAGCACAAACCAAACAACATTATTAAAGGTACATTATTAAAGCATACTAATTATTATACTAACCTAATTATTAAAGCAACATTTTACATATTATATTCTAACAGCCCCCTCAAACTCAAGGAGGATAGGAACCAACCAACTTGAGTTTGGAGAGAGTAAAAAAATAGAAAAATAAAATAAAATAAAAATGGATAGGAGACACTGTATGGTCGTGTCAGACCGTTGTAGAAGACTGTATGGTTATGGCAGACAATGTTATGACAGTTGTTGTGACAGTTTACGGAGTCTTGCTGGACCCTTGTAGAAACTAACCAGAATCAATGTCGGGACAGTTTACAGAGTCTTGTCGGACCCATGAAGGAGCTAACCGGAATCAATGTCGGGACAGTTTACAGAGTCTTGTCGGACCCCTAAAAAGTCGCACCCTCAAAAGGTGTGCCTAATTTGTCAAAAGGCGTGCCATCAAAAGGCGTGCCCAATCCATAAAAAGGTGTGCCGGACATGATGGCGAGGCGCGTGACTACCTTGGCTTGCGCGCCCGTTTTGTCGTCTGGCGTCAAGTGGCGCGCAATGCGCGTGTCTGCCTCAGCTATTTAACCAAGACGGAGGCTGAGGCTGAGACAAAAACCTGCTAAAAAACCTCTGAAAAACTCTTTGTGTTCTGAGAGAGATACTCTATAACACTCTGTTGCCCAGAAAATGGCTTTTTCTTCCCGTTCAGCTACCCAGAACATGGCCTCTTCTTCCCGTCCTCTGCTCACTCTCTTTCCCGACCTCAACGAGTCAACAAGAGAGATAACTGGTGCGGAGGCCCGTGAACCTCAACCAAACACCTCTGGTTTTGCTCCGTTGAACTTTCCGATGCGGTCGGTGGAGCAAAAAATGGCGGTGCAAACTGATATTGAGGCCAATCAATATACTTTGAAGTCATGTGTGGAGACCATGACGGCGGTCACAAACCTGTCGCACCGGCTGCAGAGCAGGACAAATGAGGTGCAACAGTTAAACTCCCAGCTGGCTCTGCTCCAACGCATGTATAAGGATGCGCGAGCAGAGATAAGTGTGCTAAAGGCAGAAAACAAGGAGCTGAAGCGGAAGGCCACCGTGATGTTCCGATTTGGAGGGCCACCATATGCTGTAGTGGAGGAGCAGGGAGGAGGAAACTTGCTTGGTGGTCTAGGAAGCACGGAGGAGGCAGCACCGTCAAGGGCCGCCCAGGACGGAGGCAAGAAGAAAAGACCGGCGGAATAGGCGAAAA